GCTCGAGCACCTCAGGCACGGGCCGGAGCTGAATAAGATGCCGTTCCGCGACCTCGAACGCCTCGAGCTGGAGGCGCAGTACAAGCCAGGACGGAGCAAGCACACCGGAGTGGCCATCGCGCACCTCCTCCATTGCTGCCCCGTGATTCGTGAACTCCGGCTCAACCTGAGCACGAGCACGGCGTCGGAGATCAAATCCTACGGATACGATGGGTGCTATGAACAAGACGTCCTCGCGGAAAAAGACCAGCTGGATTTCAACAAGTCTGTAAATCACTTCTTGCGCCGCAGATTCAAGAACCCAACAATGTCATGCGAGGTGCCTGATTATATCCATGGCTTGACTGGACAGTCGTTCACCTGCCTGCAGACTAGCCTGAGGTGTGTGAGCTTGCGATTCCGGAGGGACGAGTCCAACCGTTTTGGTGTGCGATTGGCCAAATTCTTGGCGGAGAACGCCCTGGTTCTTGAAGAGATGCATATCGACGACGGCAACCAGAAAATATGGGAGCACATTAATCACGTGGTTGGCAGATCGATTGCTGGTTCAGCCTCAGGCTTTGTAGTCTTGCCCCTTGAAACACGAAAGTGAAAGTCTCTAACTCTCTCTATGTCATATGTAGTCGTTGGGAATATGAGAATTGTTGTGCTCATTGTTCACTCTCGTTAGTCTTTCAGTGATGATGCTTGTCCTGATGCAAGAAACTACTCCCTCCGTCTGAAAATAAGTCTCTCAACTTTATACTAGCTCTAGTATAAATTTGTATTAAGCTCAATACATTTATTTTGGGACGGAGGAAGTATATGGTGTATCAGAAACATTGTTGATTCACAGATCAAGAGTTCTAGACTCTTATGACATTTTGACTACCCATTGTGCTTGGTGAATTCTTGCCAACTTTCCCCCTCTGAATAATGTTTCTTTTTTTAGCTTGGCTTGATTGTTCAGTAATTTTAACACGGTCAGAGCGGCAACATATCATGGTAAAGACAGCTTAAGAACTGCAATGAACCAGCTAGACAAATCAGTCAAACTTCATCAAATTGGGCACATCGTCCACACGCCTCCATCATCACTCATTTTGCCACGTATGAACAGATGACATCAGGAGAAATCTTTTTGATTTTCGTCTTAAAAATATTTTATCTTCTAATTAAAAAGCAAATTAAAAATCTGTTTTCATCATTAAATCCGTCTCGACGAGATCTTCAAAACTAGACCCCATGTTGATATGTTTCGACGAATTTTTTTTTTGCCTAGAAGTTGCCATGATGTTTAGACTGTAGTTGCCATGGTGCTTAAACTAAAGTTGCCATGTGGCAATTTTAGTTTGTAGATCATGGCAATTTTAGTTTTTGATGATGGCAATTCCAGTATTTTGACCATGAAAATATTTTTTTGCATGAACCATGGCAATTTTAAGTGCATGTATCATAGCAATTTTAGTTTATGATGCATGGCAAGTCTAGTTTCTTAATTCTCCGTTTTATAATATGTCAAAATTTACTTTTTAATATAGAAGAAAATAGCTGAAACATAACATGGCAACTTTAGTGTAAACATCATGCCAATTCATGTGCAATAGACATGGCAACTTTTAACCCAAAAAAATTCGTCGAAATATATTGATATGGGGTCTAGTTTCGAAGATCTCGTCCCGAGGGATTTAATGGTGAAGACGGATCTTTAATCGGATTTTTCATTTAAGAGATAAAACATTTTAAAAACTAAAAATTTAAAAAAAAATCCACATGCATGCATGCGGTGGCATGGCGTAGTCTGTATGTTATAGGGCGTGTGGGTGGGTTTGGCTCCCATCACAAGTGTGGGCGTTAGCGTTGTCCTTTTAATAACACATGCTTGGCAGTGTTAGATTATGAAGTGTTGAGAATAATCCTACCCAACAGCGTCCTTGCGTCGTGTCGGTGTTTCTGCTAGAACCGGCACCCACGTTTGCTTTGCTGGAACCAGGCAAACATGTGGTGCTTTTGGAACCGGTCAAACATGTGATGCTGCAACCGTCGGTGAATGTGCTATAAAATTTAACGCTCTCGCTGGTGATGCCGCAAAATAGGCAGACACAAAAGTTGGAACTGGCGTTCAAGTTTATTGGAACACAAAAAACACGGTCGCAGCGATCCCCGGGGGCCTCCCTGTGCAAGCAGGACCACCCTAGGGGACGCTGCAAAATGTTGCAACCGACAGGAACAAAAGTTGGATCCGTGATTTTTATGGGTGGTGTTTTTGTTGCATGGCGTGAGGGATTTTTTTTTCTACAACTGACATTTTATTTTTGCTGGAACATGTACCTGCTGATGTGAGATATGACAAAGGGCACGAGGAGCTACAAACCGGCACCCATGCCATCGGCGGAGGCGACGCGCGGCCTTGCCAGCGTGAGCGATGACGCCATGAACGGCAGCCTTTTTGTTTCTTACGGCAAGTTGTGGCGGGGACAGTGCTACAGGGGACCAAATCCAACGGGGAAGAGGGGGGATAAGATGGGGAAAG